GACTTAATTAGGCAACGTCCAGTGGCCGCAGTTGGAACGTTTATTACAATTCAATCAGCCTCCAGAAATCCGTGCAAGAGCCACCTTCTCCAAGGGATTTGCTGCTTGCTGCCAAAAAGACGAAATGTTACCAGCCATTGGAAACAGATGGATTAACTAATGCGGAACCTTACAGCAAAGAGTTTGGATTTTTCAAATGAGAAATAACAGTAAACACGACCAGAACCAGATAAAATGCAAACACTATATATTTCAGTACAAGCCCCATCCTGATTTTGCGTCACACAAACAGGAAACAAGCAATCCATCGACTCCAAAAACAACAGTGACTATCCTAATACAGTAAGCTGAAATTCTATTTGCCCAATGAAATCAATGTTCTAGCAATCCCTTTTTCAAAAAAACACTACTTCAGCAGCAAAGCAGCTCAAGCCCCAACAAAAAAACTCCCTCTTCATCAGCGTTCTCTTCATCGTTACGTGGACTTAGTTCAGAAAATAACTAGCCGCACATCTAGATCAATATCACGCAGTACTTCACTCACCAAGAAAGCCGGTGTCTAGCCTCCTGGACCTCCGGTTCTGGAAGAGACCACCTGAGCAAAGCGCACAAGGAAGCTAGCTCCTATTGCTAACGACATGCGTGTTGTACTCTTTTCTATGATATCGGCGAAATTAAATTTTATTAAATACTACACTAATAAAACACTTCTACCACACTTCAACGGATGGAACGACTACGAAGAAAACAGACCATTTAGAACTCAAAATAAAAAGCCCATAAAGAACGAGCTAAATCACACTGAAAACAACATTATAACATCTTTTTAAGCACAAGCCTGCAAAGCTTCATCTCGTTCCTCTTCCAGTTCCTGCAAGAAAATAATGAGAGTTTATGTAAATAGAGTTTCGAGAAGTGAAGAACTAAAATTAACCAAACTGCAAACCTTCTGAGTGATAGCGATCTTCTCTTTGGCAAAATCATCCCAGCTTAAACCTTGAACAATCTTCCATTCACCATTCTCGATTGTTACAGGGAAAGAGAATACCAAACCTTTTGGCACATTGTAAGATCCATCAGACGGAACTGCCATCGAGACCCACTCATCCTTAGAAAACGCTCTTTATATCAAATCAGAAACAGCGTGTTGCAAAACTGCTTATGCAAAAATCAGACGG